AAAAAAAAAAAAAAAAAAAAAAAAGATATAACATTATCTTAACGAAACTGTGTGAAAAAATTAATATTGGAGATAAGATATTTTTTTTTTTTATATGTGAAAAAAAATATCATATACATTTAAATATATATAATTGTTCGATCAACGATTTATCATATAATGTAATTAAAAAAAATGCTTACGTAAAAATGTTATTTATCATTATATAAAACTCTTTAAAATTTAAACAATTGATAAAAATTCCAGAGTCATTCACATATATCGCGTTTCACCGATTTAATCTATCGATAGAAATAAATATAAACTTATCTTTATTAAATTCAATGACGAAAAATAAGGAAACTATTTCAATAATAAGTTTTATTCCATTATTCGTTAATCTTTCGATTTCAATTATGTCGTAGAAAAACTGATTAAGATAATTAAGAAGATAAGGTGATAAATTTGCGAAAAAAATATAAGAAAAATATTTTTCTATTTTAAGTGATGTGTATTTCAAGAAAATAAGAAAAAAAAAAAAAGATATTCTAAAAAAGATCTCTAAATCGTTATATTGAAAATTAATCGAAAGAAAACGAAAAATTATTCCTTGCCTCATGTATTTTCAAAATATANAATATATAAAACTTTTTTTTTTTTTTTTTCGAATACAATTAGAATTTTTAGAGATAAGAAGATAATTACACGATATCACGTGCAAGATGGTCACAGATAAAATAACTAGAAAGATTGATATTTCAATTTTTTTCGTAAACTTTTACACGATATTAAAGATATTAAAGTTAATAAGAACGTAAAACATTATTTGAATCGCAATAATCCAACGATTTCGATTCATGCATGATTAAAATTCATCTAATTTCCGTGATCGTGAACAAATCGATACATTTCACTTATCTTTCTTGAAAAGAGCGTAAATATATATACGAATTGATCAACAGTGATGTAAATTTTTCTGTTCTCTAGACAGAAGAGATACGTTTGGTCGTAGTTGCAATTATGTGAAAAGGGACATCGTTAAAATTATCGATTTTTTCTCATACAAAAGTGAATCGATGCAATATAATTTTTAATTGATAAAATTAATAAATAGAACGAACAAGGCAGAATTGTATAGAATAAATTTATATAACAATTAAATTTCATTATCATCAATGAACGAATAATATATAATGTAATATATAATGTAAAAATAGCCGTATCTGTATATTTGTGTATATTTAAAATTTTTTTTTTAGAATTCTTTTTTCCACAAAATAGAAATATGTAATACAATACTTATCATTCTTAGTTATCGATACGTATCATCAGGTATATTTATCATGTCGATATCTTCTATATCTGATAAAAAAAGAACAAAAAAAAAAAAAAAAAAAAAAAAAAAAAAAAAAAAAAAAAAAAAAAAAAAAGAAGTGATCGCTATTTCATAGTTTCACTATAATTATCGTTTCATGATAATCATCTATTTTGCTCGTATCAAATAATAAATGATTAATAAAAGGAAAAAAAAAAGAAACGAGCAGACATATATATATATATATATATATATTTTTCAAGGAAAATTATGTCGAAGTTTCAATGATCCTCATTTGATGTTCATAAATGAGAAAAATATATTTTTCGACAATTGCTCGAAATACATAGAATAGAATAGAATGGAAAATTTTCGAAGCTCATACCAGATATGTAATATGTTTCTCGAAGTTCTTCCTTCTCTTTTATCCTCAGATAAAAAAAAAAAAAAAAGAAAAAGGAATTATAAATTCTTAATACCTGTGTTCTCATTCGAACGGGAAATATATTATTATTTTAAAACACATTAACGTTGAATGATAGATTGGTAAATAATTTTTGAATAGTAGATATATTATAAAAAAAAAAAAAAGGAAATTAAGGGATGTTTCTTACAATGTTTCTTTTTTTTTAAAAATAATTTCTCTTCTACATAACACGAAATACATAGTTTAAATATTATTCTCAACATGAAATTTGATTTCTAAGAAGAAATATACTTTTTTGATTCATAAGATAAGCAGATTTTTCTATTTGCCAACAAAAAGATAATTCGATTGATTGACGCGACAAAGGAGTGAAAACAGATAAAGGAGAACAAGAAATTAGCGATACCAGATTTTTATGTATGCGTTAATCGCGTATCATCGAGGTAGTGATATTGATTAAAGGTATCTATTCAGATAAGGGTAAAGGTTTCCCCTGATAAGCTTTACAAAGAGTATTTCTACTTCATCAAGTTTTGCAGCACTCGCGGATGAACGCTCGAAATATCAACGTGAATCAAGTGACAAAGTCGAAAAACAGGACGATGCAGAAATTTTTGTTAATATCGTTGGCCATCGGCCTCCTGTCTCTACAATCCGGTAAAGTATTACGATCGATCGGATATTTTATCATTTATCTTAATTAACTTTTTCCTTTTATTAAATTATTTATTTTTAAGTTTCCAAATTATAACGTGTATTTCATTCTAAATTAGGGGACGCGCTCAAATGTAAAATATGCAAGGGAAATTGTACTGATTTAAATCAAAGTGAAGTCAAAGTGGCAGAGTGTTCACTTCCGACTACGGAACCACCGAGCCCGGAACCATCGAGTACGCAATCTTCTTC